TAAATTTGTTTAATACAGTACAGTAAGGATAAAGTCGTATAATTTTACATATGTACATGCCATATATGACAATATACATATATGACTTACTCTGTTTTAGGCCACAGAATTGTTTTCAGTCTTTTGCCATAATTACACTAGCTAATTGCTAATTATCTGGCATTCAATTTATCATTGTTCTACATTAGCTGGTAATTTTGATCAATCTGGCACCTAAATAGATAAGGTGAAAAAGTTAAGTGCAACAAAAAGGGATCATAGAAAGATGACTAAAAATTTAATGCACACTCTTCCACTTCCCTTTCCCCTCCCGCCCCTTCCCCTTCTCTCCCTTCCCATCGTCAACCCCAAGTGCACTGGATGGTTTATAATCCACTGTATATCCGGTACATAACAATCCTTGGATATTTTCTTATATCCTAAGAAAACAAGACATTATTGAAACACAACACACCAAGAGGACATTCATTTAATAAAGTATAAATTTCTGTTCTGTGTCTGTGTGTGCACATTTCAGTTCAAAATAATATATATAATTTTTTTTATTAGGGCTATTAAACATTTCAAAACAGGCATAATTTTGTGAATCATAAATATGGTAATTTCTCTGGTTTTAAACATATTCACTGTCTTATAAATTAGTAACTAAATATTGTAGATTCTATAATGTTTATCATAAATGTATGTCATATTGTATATCATCAGCTTAATTTTGAAAAGACTATAAATCCATCAGGCTTTCATGTTTATAAAACCTGCCATTGCTGAGTGCTAGTGTTCATTAAAATATAATAGTCAGTGGTCACATTTTCTGAAGATACTGTACGGCCAAAGTTTCCAAGCATGATGACATTCTTATTGATAGCAAGTAAGGAATAATATGTGAGTGATGGTGACCCAGATAACCTGGTTGTATTCTAATAAAATACTGTACATATTACTGTTTTTGCATACTAATGTTTCACTTCTACTTGTCTTGCCTCTTTGTAATAGATACATACTCAAATTTGCAGCTAAACTGAAATAGAAATTTATTTCTAGACTTCACTTTAAACAACATAAGAATTCATGATGAAGTATGTATCACATGTAATTATATATTTTGTTCAAACTAGCCTGAGTGTCAGAATGATACAGTTCTCTCATCTAATGTATGGCATCTCTAGTAGTCATTTTAATTCATGACACTATTATGCTTCATTAAGCTTGAAAAGAATGCTTTTAAGATAAGGAAAAGCAAATCAGATTTAATCTGTAATAGTTACTTTTGCTGTGACAGAAAGCTTCAGTATTCACAATGTACAGTATAAAGTGCTGTGAGAGTGTACTCATTTAGTGGGCTGCTATATTACTCCTGAACCACATGCTATAACCTGGGCAACCACACATGTTCAGGTTTGAAACATTTTTCAATACAAATGATACAGAGATGCATCAGATTTCTGTTGAGAATAATTACCATATATGTACTTCATATATAAATTTTGGTGCGAAATTATTTCTTACAGTAGGTGCTCCTATTCAGGATAAATTACCATAAAAAATAATTAAAGTTAAGTAATATTGTTATGACAGTTAGTATATCATACTAGATTATTAAATTACCACCTGTTGACAAAAAAAAATTCATTCAAAGAATCAGGTGGTATTGATTTTTGTTCCATTCAAGTAACCAAACTGTGATGATTTGTTCCATATAAAATAGCCATATGAAATTTATTTAACTATTCCATTCAAAGAATAAGATATTCTTTGTGTCTACTTTTGTTTTGTACTGTGAGTGGCCAGTAGTGCAAGATGTTTGGTTTATTTTAATAGGCAAGATATATTGCAGTATAGTACTGTATATTAGATCAGTTAACTTCTGGTGCATAATAGTGCAAGATGTTTGGTTTATTTTAATAGGCAAGATATATTGCAGTATAGTACTGTATATTAGATCAGCTAACTTCTGGTGCACATTGAAACACTACCATGGAAGTATTGGAAAAGGTTTATTCATTTTTCTCCATTAATACTACCCAGAGACAATTGACAGTATGTATCGTGTTCTTAAATTTTACATTGCTTTTATGAATCATCTTAGTGTATTTATTTTTTCTCCACATGCTTTTGTCCAGTCCTCTCCTCCTTAATGTCTTGAGGTAACATATCTCTCTGACATATTTCAGCTTACTATTTTTAAGGGGTTGACTTGATTCTGGTGAAGGGACCTTGATCCAAGAAACTGGAGGTACCCTTCACTTACTCAGATCAGACCTGATTACCTTCCATTTCCCAGGTGCTGTGTGATTCTTATAGATTTAGCTCTTTTTTTATGAATATAATAATAACAACAACAATACTATTTTTGGTAACATTTAACAAGGAATTCTGTGTATTGTATAGACTTGCCTATCAGGTAAGTAATGGCATAGCCACTACTCATAATAATAAAGATTAAGTAACCATGATAAATTACAAGACTGTTATTTATATCACTCTTTAAACTACATAGACAAATTAGAAGCATGAGGGAGATCGAGTACTGTATTTTTTCAGGTTTAACAATAAGTATCAGACTGTCAATTGGTCCTGTAAAAGGCATAAATCATCCAGGGGAAAAAACACTTAATTTTCATGGTAGTTTTTCATTTGGTTATTGTTACCAATTGTGCACCTTTGTAAATAATTGTTTAAGCATAGCACATTTCTAATGCTGTGAATTATCGGTGCAATATTAGGTACCTAATTTTTCAAGTGCTGTTTGGTATTTTGTGAGCATTTACAATATATTTAAATCATTTATATATCATTATTACATTTTTATATTTGTATATCGTATTAATAATGCTAGTAAGGTGCGACGCAGTATTTAATAAAAATCTGCATGTTTAGTTTGTTCACTCACGCTATCCTTGCTAATACACTTAACACAAAAATTATTTTAAGGTATTATTAACAAAATGTTTTTATTCCATTACAACATGATAATGTTTATGCAGTCAATCTTTCTTTGTATAACAAGAAGTGGCTTAATAATCAAACCTAATGCATGAGTACAACACAGAATGGGGTTTGTACTCTGCATTCTTCTTATGCTAATACAAGAGGTCCTCAACTTACAAATGCTACAAATTACATGCATCAACACTTACAAATAGAAAAAGCTACATGCATCTACACTTACAGATAGAACAAGCTACATGCATCTACACTTACAAATGGAACAAGCTACATGCATCTTCACTTACAAATGGAACAAGCTACATGCATCTTCACTTACAGATAGAACAAGCTACATGCATCTACACTTACAGATGGAACAAGCTACATGCATCTGCACTTACAGATGGAACAAGCTACATGCATCTGCACTTACAGATGGAACAAGCTACATGCATCTGCACTTACAGATGGAACAAGCTACATGCATCTGCACTTACAGATGGAACAAGCTACATGCATCTGCACTTACAGATGGAACAAGCTACATGCATCTGCACTTACAGATGGAACAAGCTACATGCATCTTCACTTACAGATAGAACAAGCTACATGCATCTACACTTACAGATGGAACAAGCTACATGCATCTTCACTTACAGATGGAACAAGCTACATGCATCTTCACTTACAGATAGAACAAGCTACATGCATCTACACTTACAAATGTCAGAAGTTATATACACATGTGCACTTACAAATGCTACATGTTACACACATGTACTCTTACAAATGGTATGGATTATTCATATTTACACTTACAAATGTTGCAGGTTATACATATCTACACCTGTATATGCTACAAGTTGCATACATCTGCACTTACAAATGAGATATTTAAGAATCAGTTAATTTTTTGCAACTGCTGATCTGCAGTGCAATATAACCATCCTTTGCACTACAGTCCCCTCAAGGAACCTTCCTTGAGGGGAATCTGGATGCAAGAAATTAAATCAGTCCTCACCTTCCTTGGGCTGAACCTGATTGCCTCTCATTGCCAAGGCACTCTTTTACCTCTATGGGTTTAGCCCTACTCTCGTAGAATGTAATAAATTATTAATAATGCACTAGTATTTCTTTATAAATAACTCGTGTGTAAGTTGAAAAACCAAGAACACAGCTCATTTGCAAATTGGAGACCTCGTGTACTCATTAAAGTGAAATAGTTTGTACAGTGCACATTATTCATTTAAGCACTGTACCTGCACTGGCCAGTACAATGAATGATTTATTTTTGTTGCCAATGTTATTAGCTTTGATTTTATCATTTATCCAAGCATTTTAATGCCTAACTTATGAGATTCACCTTACATGCAGACCTAAATAAGTGACATAACTAAACAATTGATGTTGAAGTTTTGCTATAAGTGTATTAATTTCAACATCTTGAGTATTGTAGTTAAGCTTTTTCACCACCAGCACAAAGGAATTATGAGGTTAGTGTACACTCTTCACCCAGTTATTTCTTTATTCATATTCTGCATGTTATATGCACACAATTTATAACCAGTATCGCTAAGGGTTTTAATTGTCATTAAGTATCCTTAGTAGGTATAGTATTTCATTAGGTAGTGTCCCTTTAAAGTGGGTGTCCTGTTGCTGAAGGGAATTAGGACTACCTTACCCTTCCTTCAATCATACCTGATTACCTCCCATTCCCTGGGCACTAATGACCCCTACTTATTTAGCGCTTCATGAATATAATAATAATTCTTGAATGCAGCTACTTTGCAAAGAGATTAGTGATACTAATTCTTACATAAAACAGTGAAGCCTGAACATTTTTAAACTTTGTTGAAAGTGTGCAGATTAAATAAAAAGGAGTTATAGGTATAATGAAAGCAATGTACTGTATTAATATAATGGTTTGGTAGAAAGGTGACACTTTGAGTGAGGTTTAGTTTTAGCATGGCAAAAATAAGTTGTTACAAATTTATTGCTGTGCATTTGTTATTATAGTATTTTTATGTTGCCAATACTTGTACAGTTGTTAACATTTAATGTGTCACTTTCAGATTCTCTCCGTACCAGAAACCACACATGATACCTCAGACCAGGAAGACAAGGCCTCTCAGTCAAGAGAGAAAGAAGACTCCCAGCCACAAGAAACAGACGGAGTGTCGCGCTGGGAAAGGTTTTAAGACCTGCCCCTAGGTGAAGGCTTTGTTATCATCCATGTGTCACAGGAAAAAGGTTCTAAGATCTATCTCAGAGGAAGGCTTCATCACCACCCATGTTATACATTGGCCCAAGATGAATTCTTTTTCTACAAAATGCATTTAGACTTCATCAACAACACTATAATGTATAAATAGATAAAAGTCTGTTTAGTGATGCCACCAATAAATGCAGTTCACACCTAGCATGTCTTACTGTCTGGTAAATCAGAATTTCCATCAAAATCTGCAAGAAAATAGCATTTTAAGATAAGAATTACATATTGTATATTTTAAGAAACAATCAGCAAAGGCAGGATAGAGTACCGAGAGGTAATATTAGTCCTTCTCACTGAGATGTTCATAAATATAATATATAATAGTACTCTAGTTTTGTAGTAAAATGAGATATTACAGTTGTAATGTGATTTTCCAGATCATCTATGTAACAGTTTTCGTGAATTAGAACCTTTTTGCCAGTGAAAATGAAAGCCAGTCCTCGTAGCATTTTACATATAAATAGTCTTTTAACAAGGACATAGCAAGGTTATATTAAAAACAGAAATAATTTTATAGTTTTTTCTCCTAAATGGAAAATCATGGAATATACATACGTTTCTCTAGTATATACCAGGAATAATACAGTCACACCTCATCAATCAAAAATTAGTGGGACCAAATGTTTTTTGTTTAATTAAACTTTTTATTAATTACAGGAGTGGCAGCAGCATTGTGGAACATTATTTATTATGCCCATTATGATTAACTTGAGCTTTTAATTATAACCCTATGCAAATAAATGAGGTGTGCTTCCACTTTAGTTTTCATATTTAACGTGTGTGTATATCCATGCAATAAAAAGTGAGAAATGCCATTTTGAATTCCAGTACTGTACACTATATTGTATTTTTTTGTAATTTTTTTTTACAGTATTATTATTATAAGGTTATATTTTGATTTAGTCCAGTTATCTGATACCTTCTATTTTGCAGGAGTGCATACATATTTTGTCCAGTTACATGCAGGAGTGCATACATATTTTGTCCAGTTACATGCAGGAGTGCATACATATTTTGTCCAGTTACATGCAGGAGTGCATACATATTTTGTCAGTTACATGCAGGAGTGCATACATATTTTGTCCAGTTACATGCAGGAGTGCATACATATTTTGTCCAGTTACATGCAGGAGTGCATACATATTTTGTCCAGTTACATGCAGAAATGCATACATATTTTGTCCACAGTTACCCACAGGGAGTGCATGCACACTTTATCCAGTTATATGCAGGGTTGTATACACATTGTTTAATTATCTGCAGGAGTGTGTACACATTTTATCCAGTCACTCTGTGTTTACTCCAGCTCCATTTTATAACACACCAATCTTAAGATTTTCCTACTTGTCTTCACAGTGATGTTCTATGGTGTTCTTTATACTATTATGATGTTGTATGCCTACTGTATGTAGTCAAGTGTGGTACAGTATCACATTGACAGACTCAGCATTTTAAATTGTGCCTTAAATCCTTATACTATTCACAAATTTTCAGTTAAATATAAAATATGTATTACAGTGGTACCCCGAGTTTCGTACATAATTCGTTCCAGAAGGCTGTTCGTATGCCGTTAGCGAACAAATTTGTTCCCATAAGGAATAATGTAAATTAGATTAGTCCACTTCAGACCCCCAAAAATATACTTACAAGAGCACTTACAATAATACACTCACATAATTGTTCGAGTTGGGAGCTGTACGAAACTCGGGGTACCACTGTACTTGTATGTAGATCAAAATAACTCAGTACAATATATTTAAGGTAAAATTTTAATACAGTGATAGTCTCATTTCACAATGTTTTAGTTTGTTCTGAAATAGCACAAGTACTATTAATGAATAACTAAATGCAGGTGGGTCACATGTATATGTGCATGAGTGCACATGTGTATGTGTGTGTATCAAATATTATCTCAGTACATAGCAGGATTCAAACCTGCATACACTGTGTCACAGTACATAGTACTTTCACCATTCAAAGTACTGCCTACTTTGATACAGTGTGCAGGTTTGTATCCTGCTGTGAACTGAGACATAATGTGTGTTAAAAGTTCACCCATTTGCGAATTATTAAGGATGTGTGCATGTGTATGTGGACATACGTGTGTATATAAAAGTGAGTGAGTGGAAAAGAGTATATACAAATAAGGATATGTTATTATTTTATCTCTTCTACATAGGGGATTTATATTGTGAATTAGTCTCATGTATATTAAAATACACTAGAAAAGTTGGATGACAACTCTACGAATGTACTACACACCAAAGGATTTGTGAAATTGTTATCAGTACAATATATACGGATATATATATATTTTTTTTTTCAACAAACCGGCCATATACCACTGAGGCAGGGTGGCCCAAAAAGAAAAACATACAGGAGAAGGGGTTACTAGCCCCTTGCTCCTGATGTACGTATATATATATATATACAGTGGACCCCCGGTTTACGATATTATTTCATTCCAGAATTATGTTCAGGTGCCATTACTTAATGAATTTGTTCCCATAAGGAATATTGTGAATTAGATTAGTCCATTTCAGACCCCCAAACATACACATACAAACGCACTTACATAATTGGTCGCATTGGGAGCTGATCGTAAACTGGGGGTCCACTGTATATATATAAATGCTGTATTGTATATTTTACAACCCTCAAGTGCATGTACTGAGATTTGAATTTCTCTTAGATATGACACCAGGTTGAGTACCATAATATCTTGGTATGTGCATTCAGGGTTGTGAGAATTGCTTGTGATTCTGGTACCAGTCAAGTTTACATAACTGAAGGTAAGAGAGAGACATACAGACAGTCAGACAGAGACATACAGACAGTCAGACAGAGACACACAGTGTGTGTATACATATACATATTTTTTTTTTTAACTCCCAGGCCGTCTCCCACCAAGGCAGGGTGACCCAAAACAATAAAGCTTTCACTATCATTCACACTATCACTGTCTTTGCAGTGATAGTGTGAATGATAGTATACACACATATACACATACATACATATATCCAGCAGGCTTGTATGAACATTCAAGACAAATGGTTTATAATGAACATACTGTCGGAGTATAAGGTAACCTTCATGAAGGGCTTCAGGAAATCTAGTTAGCCAGGCTTGAATCTGGGAAGTGGGAAGGTAGTGCCTGCACTCTGAAGGAGGGATTAGGATGTTGCAGGCAGAGGGATAATATGCTTACATACATATATACATTCATACATATGCATACACATACATACATACAAATATACACTGTATATGTTTTGTTATTACTCAGTGAAATTCAGTCTGAACCTCACAAAATTAATAGAAAGCTGTATTTCATTGATGTTAAATAATGCTAAGTTGGGTAAGATTAAGCTATAATGTATACTGAAAATTTTTATGAAAGTTAGGTATGTTAATTCAGTTAAAATCTAAAAATTGGCATACCATGTTAAATTATAGAAATCTATCAAGCCATAAGAAAAAATCAGAAAAAATAAATTTTGGCTTTTGTATTTGATTGCTCTAGATAATAAAGCACAACATATACAGTATGTACTGTGTACAATATATACTGTACCTGCTAGAAAGAGGCAGAAGTATTAAAAATATATACTACATACTGTAATGTAAGTTTTGTGGTGAATAAATAATATAAAATTACTGTGTGATTTTGTTATAAAACCCTCAGTGTTCCGGTGTAATAAAAAATGAAGAATTTTTGTGCCTGGTCATAGACCAGGCCGTAGGGGTGTTGATCCCCAAAATCCTCTCCAGGTATACTCCAGGTAAGTAAGTTTATTCAGGTATACACATATACAGTTACATAGATTATCATACATAGCAGCATATGTGTAGAGAACCTAGGATAACCCAAAAAAGTCAGAGTGGCTTATTTCCATTGAGGTAAGCAATGTGTGAGATGACATGATTTACCATTATGTCATCTCATTTCAGTTGGTAATTCCTTATGTTACTAACTTATTGCACCAACTTTGATTTCAGTTTTACTCTTGCACTAACCTCTGCACACCCCTACCCTCCACCCACTCATAACTTTCAGACAACCTTCCCAGCATTGTTATATGATCCTTATGGATTTAGTACTCGCAATGATATAATAATTCCAGATGTGCAAAATACGTTTGTCATATGTGCAGTTTGCAAAACATATTGAATATTTTTATGTGAAAGTCACTGTTTATGGCTTGATTGTGCTTGGTACATCTACTATGTGCCTGGAATACTGCTGCTGTCTTTTTGACTACCACCCACAGGATGGGTATGGGGTGCATAATGAAGATGTTAAACTACTGTATGAAGCCAGGGAAACCTATATAATACTGGAACAGTATCTTAATAAAACTGGGTGCTAAACCCATAAGGGTCATGCAGCACTGCTCTGAAACAGCACTCAAGACTAATGTTTCTGGATCCCTCATAATAACCTTCCTGACTCTGCCTCTTACATACCTCTAACCCCCGCTGGTCTCTGAACTAAGCATATTTCATCTAGCACATCCTGCCATGCAGTGCTGTATGACCCTTGTGGATTTAGTACTTATTTTTCATTGAAATAATAATCTGGACCCCTTGATGCAAGTGAGGAGCTCTTGATCCTGAGCTGAATCTGAACGATTCACATTCCCCAGGCTCTACGTATATGGCTTCCCTATGGGTTTAGTGCTTCCCTATGACTGAAAATACTGTATGTAAAATTACTGCACTGTTATTGCCTTATTACTCCTCAAGGGAGGTTCCTTGATGCTGGTGAGGGGCTCTTGATCTAGGGAATTGAATCTGTGCTCCAGTTCCCTGCATTGATCCTGAATACCTTCCATTCCCCATCGCTGTATAATCCTACGGGTTTAGCGCTTCCCCCATGATTATAATAATCTCAAGAAAAGTTCCTTGATATTGATGAGGTACCCTTGATCTAAAGAATTAGATATGCCCTTCCCTTCCTTGGATCAAACTTGAATTCTTCCCATTTCCCCAGGTGTTGTATGACTTTCTAAAGGTACATATATAATAATACTGATATACATTATGGCATATAAATAATACCGATATACCTTATGGCATATACTGAGACATCCCTCTTAGTATATACCGAGAGAAATGCGTCTTGGTATCTAATGAGAAACATCCTTCTCGATATACGATGAGAGACGCTCTTCTGGGAATATATTGAAAGATATCCCTCGTGGAATATACTGCAGGATATTCCTCCTGGTATAGCACCCCTCTAGGGAGGTAGATTCCTTGACGCTGGTGAGGGGCTCTTGATCTAGGGAATTGGATCTGTGCTCCAGTTCCCTGAATTGAGCCTGAATGCCTCCCATCCCCCCCACTTGCGCTGCATAATTCTACGGGTTTAGCGCTCCCCATGATTATAATAATCCTCGTCCTCCCGGTATATACAGGAAGGTCAGCGCTTGCGTGGCTGTGCTCCTCTGTGGGAGGAATTTCCTGTTGTCTGAGGCAGAACATTTAAGTTTACCAAACTGGAGGAACCATTCACGGATTTGGCCTATTCTTGGTATATACCCCAGGGATACCTTTCCTAGTGACTTCAGGGGTATATAGGATTGTCACACGTCACTCCAGTTTGTCCTAAACTTGAGCTGTATAAAAATCGATCATGTTTCCGTATGGTTTGAGCGGTGCGATTAATATTATTAGTGGTTTAAACGTTAGCTACCATATCATTGGTGTTTAATATGGAGTTAGTATATTTCGAAGGTTTATATCATAGAGTTAGTGGGTTACCAGAGGCTGAAATAGAGGTTATTATAGGGAAAAAGTGGATTGATGGTGGGTAGGTAGAAGTCAGTCCGGCTCAGAAGGGATTTTTCCACCGTCGAGGCGGGTGTGTGTCAGCGCTCTGACTTTATTAATAGATTTTTGTGATATAACTTACTTTCTGCTGCCAGATTTCCTGTTTTGGCGGCGGTGGTGAGTACAACGAACTCGTCCAGCTATACAGGGGCAGGAAAATAATCCCTTAAAAATTGTGCTCAGAGTCTGAAGCGTTGGAATAATTTTGACTATATTTCCTGGAAGCTGTGGTTGTTTTTTTTTATTTTCACATAATTCCCCCACACAGGACAAGATCCCCCCACAAGGTACACTGATGTGATTTTGTGTATGATATTTGTTATTTAAATGATCTGCTGTACGTTGATGATCCCTCTAGTGGACACTAATGTCTCTTGGTCTGTCTTACTGTGTCTGTATCTCACTGTGTCTTGGGTCTGTGTCTCACTGTGTCTGTGTCTCACTGTGTCTTGTGTCTGTGTCTCACTGTGTCTGTGTCTCACTGTGTCTTGTGTCTGTGTCTCACTGTGTCTGTGTCTTACTGTGTCTGTGTCTCACTGTGTCTGTGTCTTACTGTGTCTGTGTCTCACTGTGTCTTGTGTCTGTGTCTTACTGTGTCTGTGTCTCACTGTGTCTGTATCTCATTGTGTCTTGTGTCTGTATCTCACTGTGTCTTGTGTCTGTCTCACTGTGTCTGTGTCTCACTGTGTCTTGTGTCTGTGTCTTACTGTGTCTGTGTCTTGTGTCTGTGTCTTACTGTGTCTGTATCTCACTGTGTCTTGTGTCTGTGTCTTACTGTGTCTGTGTCTTGTGTCTGTGTCTTACTGTGTCTGTGCCTTGTGTCTGTGTCTTACTGTGTCTGTATCTCACTGTGTCTTGTGTCTGTGTCTTACTGTGTCTGTGTCTTGTGTCTGTGTCTTACTGTGTCTGTGTCTTACTGTGTCTATCTCACTGTGTCTTGTGTCTGTGTCTTACTGTGTCTGTCTCACTGTCTTGTGTCTGTGTCTTACTGTGTCTATGTCTTGTGTCTGTGTCTTACTGTGTCTTGTGTCTGTGTCTGTGTCTGTGTCTTACTGTGTTTGTATCTCACCGTGTCTTGTGTCTGTCTCTTACTGTGTCTGTCTCTTACTGTCTGTATCTCACTGTGTCTGTATCTCACCGTGTCTTGTGTCTGTGTCTTACTGTGTCTGTGTTTTACTGTGTTTGTATCTCACTGTGTCTTGTGTCTGTGTCTTACTGTGTCTGTATCTCACTGTGTCTTGTGTCTGTGTCTTACTGTGTCTGTCTCTTACTGTGTTTGTATCTCACTATGTCTTGTGTCTGTGTCTTACTGTGTCTGTCTTACTGTGTCTGCATCTCACCGTGTCTTGTGTCTGTGTCTTACTGTGTCTGTGTCTTACTGTGTTTGTATCTCACTGTGTCTTGTGTCTGTGTCTTACTGTGTCTGTATCTCACTGTGTCTTGTGTCTGTCTCTTACTGTGTTTG